AGATTAAAGGGTACAAACATGCAGTTGGATAGAAGAGATAAATTCAATGTTTGATAGCAGAATGGGGTGATTATAGCTAACAAACAATGCATTGTACTCAGGTGATGGGCATCCTAAATACCATGATTTGATTACTATGCATTACATACATGCAACAAAATTTCACCTGTACCCCAAAAATTTGTTTAAAAAAATTATAAAGAGGAAGACAGGGGAACTAAATAGGGGAATCTTACATAAGAGAAAGGCAAAAAGAATCCCCAAATTGCAATGTGAAAGAAATATTAGGATTACAACTGTGAAGCAGCTCTAAAGAGCAGAGGTCAAAGAATAGGTAGATGTCATGATTTCAAAACTAATAAGAAACTTGCTTAAATAATTAATGTGTCAGAACATAGTGAGAAGAGAAGATTTACACCGTGGGGGGGGGGTCGGGGAGAATTAATGATAATTTAAAAGTGAAAAAGAGGTGCTTAGAATCAATCCACTGAAGTAAAATTTTGCATTGGACACTTGTTAAAAATGGCAAGGAACTTCACTCAGGACTACTGCAATAGAGGAGAGAGATTGAACTCAATTCTAAACACAACAGGGATATCAGCCTAGGTGACAGACTGAGACCCTACCTCAAAAATAAATAAATAAATAAATACAACAAGGGTAAGTGGAATATATACCCAAGGGGCATGATGAGGGAGTCATTAGATAGAAACATACTAAGAGGAGGCCAGGCATGGTGGCTCACACCTGTAATCCGAGCACTTTGGGGGCTGAGGCAGGTGGATCACCTGAGGTCAGGAGTTCAAGACTAGCCTGACCAACAAGGTGAAACTTTGTCTCTACTAAAAATACAAAAATTAGTAGAGCTGTGGTGGCTCTACTACGTGGTGGCAGGCACCTGCAATCCCAGCTAGTTGGGAGGCTGAGACAGGGGAAGTTCTTGAATCTGGGAGGTGGAGGTTACGGTGAGCCAAGATCGTGCCACTGCACTCCAGCCTGGACAATGGAACAAGACTCCATCACACAAAAAAAAAAAAAAAAAAAAAAAAAAACTAAGAGGGCTAGGTATCAAGGAGATTGGGAGAGAGGAATTTGATTAGACATCAAGGGTAGGGAGGAGAATCTGATTAGCTATCAAAGGTGGTGGGATTCTCTATAAACTGGCTAAGCAGTATCCTTTGCCAAAACTAGACATGGCAAGCCAAAGATGGGGCCAAAGATAACGGCTAGGGAAAAGGAGGGCTCAGAGGAGCCTGACTACATTTGGTCAATAAAGGAGTCTTTGTCAAATGAAATATGGTCCTTCCTTCCTTCCTTCCTTCCTTCCTTCCTTCCTTCCTTCCTCCCTTCCTCCCTTCCTCCCTTCCTCCCTTCCTCCCTTCCTCCCTTCCTCCCTTCCTCCCTTCCTCCCTTCCTCCCTTCTTTCCTTCCTTCCTTCCTTCCTTCCTTCCTTCCTTCCTTCCTTCCTTCCTTCCTTCCTTCCTTCTTTCCTTCCTTCCTTCCTTCCTTCCTTCCTTCCTTCCTTCCTTCCTTTTTCTCCCTCCCTTCTTTCTTTTGTTCATTCTTTCTTTTGTTCTTTCTTTCTTGTCTGTCAGCCAGGCTGGAGTGCAATGCTGCCATCATAGCTCATTGTAACCTTGAACTCCTAGGCTCAAGAGATTTTTCCCACCTCAGCCTCCCAAGGAGGTGGGACTACAGGCACGTGCTGCTGTGCCTGGCTAATTTTTTTTATTTTTGGTTTTTCTGGAGATGATATCTTGCTCTGTTGCCAAGGATGGTCTTGAACTCCTGTCCTCAAGTGTTCCCCCCACCTTGGCCTCCCTAAATGTTGGGATTACAGGTGTGAGCCACAAGCCATGGCTATCTTTTAAAGAAAAATGCAAAATGCTTGTTTTGTTATTTTTAATATATTTTCCCAGATGATTTCTGTAAAACAAAAATAAAATTCTATGGCCCCCCTCTTGGACAGGGCACTCCAACGTTAGCCTGAAAGACTGGTTCAGGCCATAATGGCAGATTGGACATGGCTTATTATGTCCTCCTCCCTTTTGGAATTCAGGAAAAGCTGACCAGCATTTAACATCAACACAAACCCTAAGTCTGATAAGAAACATTTGCCATCTATTCTCTTTTGAAACTTGCTACGTGGAGGCTTCAACCTCATACTGAAACCTTGGACTCCACAACCCCTTATCACGACCCAGACATTGTTTTCTACTGATAATAACTCTTTCAACCAATTGCCAATCAGAAAATTTTTAAATCTACCTATGAGCTGGAAGTCCCCACTTTAAGTTGTCCTGTCTTTCCAGATGGAACTCCTGTAAATCTTACATGTATTGATTGATGCATTATGTCTCTCTAAAATGTATAAAAGCAAGCTGTATTCTGACCACCTTGGGCACATGTTGTCAGGACCTCCTAAGGCTGTGTCATGGGTGTGTCCTTAACCTTGGCACAAAAAGCTTTCTAAATTGATTGAGATCTGTCTCAGATACCTTTGGGTTCACATTTCACGCATAGAAATTATGAGAACAAATTTTTACAGAGGCCTAGAAGAAAGCACTATAAACTTTGCAAAATAAGTGCAGGAGAGGCAGATGATAATAATATGACACTCCCCCCAATAATAACTCCCCCCAGAATGGCTGGTGCACTGAAGAAAACTTTAATTCCCCTATACTTTTAACTAGGCTCAGCCATGAACGTGGGGAAGGCTGGCATTTGTGCAATGACACTGCGGTTCTCTACTACATGTCTGGTCATCCTGTCAGTCCCTTATATCTGCCCACACCCAGTTCCCAAACAGGAAAAGCGGTGTTCTTTTGCCAGCAAATTAGAGTTTAACTAAAAGTAAAGGGATCTATTTGAAAAGGTAAATGTATCTGCCTTCAAAGAATAAAAGGATCTATCTTTACACCTGATAACAAAGAAACAAAATCTTAAATGGATAAAGCTTGTGTGATGAGACCAAATCAAATGAAGTGAAGAAGCTGAATTTTGTTCAACTTAAATGACAGAGAATAGACATGCCCTGAGTTATATTTAAAAAAAAAAAAATCACCCTGAATGCTGTGTAGAGGATGGGTTGTAGGGGGTAAAAATGGAAGCATGGACGCCAGTTAGATAGTTACTGCAGCCAGTGATTTGGACTAAGAGGGTAAAGGTAAAGAATAAAAGGAATAAACAGATTTGAGATAGATTTTGGAGGGTGAACTGACTAGACTTGCTGATGGATGGACACAGGGGTGACAGAAAAGAAGGAATCGAGGCTGACTTCTAGTTTTTAGCTTGAACAACTAAGTAGATATGTCATTTACTGAAATGATAAAGGCAAGAACAGATTTGCGAGGGGAATCAAGAATTCTGGTTTCAAATTATTATTAATCATCAAATTTCATATCAAGGAGGAGGTTGGATATATAAGTTTGGATCTTGGTGGGGCTAGTGAAATAAATTTGGAAATTATCATAATTCTGGTGGTTTATAAAGAGAAGAAATGAGATTCCCTAGAATGAGAATAAAGACAGTAAGCAAACAGAGAAACCAAAATCAAGCCTAAGGAATACTCAAAAATTTAGGAGTTAAGCAAAGAAAACCCTAAAGGAGTGAAACAATGGCATGGGGAAAAAATCCGAAGAACGTGGTATCAGGGAAGCCAAGGGTGTTTTAACAGTGGAAGAGTGGTCAAGCACATGCCAATTGGTCAGTAAGATGAAATCACAAAGAATGTTAGTCATCGTGTTTGACTAGCTGGTGTCACTATAAATCTTGGTGAAAATGAAAACTATAGTAAAGTGGATTAGGGAGGAATGGAATGTGAGGGGTTAGAATAGGATGTAAAGAAATTAGTGGAGATAGTATAAGGAGTTCTTTTTTAAAAAAAGCATCTAACTCCCACTCTTTTTCAGAGAGAAAGAAAGAGAGAGCACACAGGAAGGGGGCTCAACTTGCTTGCATAACAGTCCCGCTCTTTCAGTAACGTTAATCCATTCATGAGGGCAGAGGCTTGTGATCTAATCACCTCTTATAGGCCCCACCTGTCAACACTGTTGTATTAAGTTTCCAACACATAAACTCTGGAGGACACATTCGAACCATAGCAGGGAGTTATAAGCACTTCCTCATGGAGACTGCCGATCTCTTAGAAAAGCTGTGTGAACAGCTTGTGACAGCTGCCCGAACGGCTGTTCCATAGGCTGTGGACAGGTGAGTGAGCAGTGATGCAGGGTTTGGGTGTTCTCTCTCTTTCTCCCTTCTTGTGAAGGGAGGGATGGGGAAATGAGACAACCCCAAATCCACAGTGGTCTTACAATTTACCAAGACACAGGGTACTAATTCTCCTGGGAATGACAAATATCAAAAACCAAGATCAAAAGTCCCCAGTAACAAAGGAAGAAAATGTTTGGCCCCACCCTCGAAGGGCAGGAGTGCTGAGGGAAAGCAGGGCTCTCATTCTGAGTGAGTTGAGCACCAAAAGCTTTATGTCTGGTCTTGAGACATCAGCTGGCCCTTAGTGGGGAGGAAGAAAAACACTGTGGTGTTATTCAATAGTACCTCCAGACCAGTCCCTAGAGAAATTATTCCAAGTTCCTCAAACAGTGGAGCCAGTAAAATTGAAAGAGTAAGACTACCTCTTGGGGGTCTAAAATATCTGTGGTCACTGTGCAAAAATATCAGGTCGCACCATCCAAGATTTTCAGAGTAGTATTCATTTTGATTGAGAGGATGGCTTCTTCAACCAGGAGCAGGCCACAGGCTAGAGTGGTGGCGACGGAGAGCAGAGAGGTGGTCCCCAGAGCAGCAGTCTTGAGAGGGGATGGGCCGGTGAGCTGCCTGAAAACAGAACACACAACAGCAGGAAAGCTACAACAGCTGCAGAGGACCATGTGGAAAGGGAGATGCCTCAATGGTTTAGAATTCTATAATAAAACAGTGGTGGTTTGGAAGAAGCCCCAAGACAACTGCTACGAAACCTGTGAAGTATAATTTAGGCACCCCAAACATGCCTCTGTCCTGAGGCTCTTCCTGCTGCCTGGAACATTCCTCCTGGGCTGAAGTAGGACCAAATTCTTATTCTTCAGGTATGAGCTAAAATGTATGTCAGTGCGGAGGTCATCCCTATTTAAAGATCTCCCTGTGATAGTCTAATACAGCCCTCTGTTTTTCCTTGAGAGTACTGCATTTCACTGATTCTGATATACACTTTTTTTTTACATTTTAACATCTCTGAAGTCGGATGACTCTTATAATCAATACTACATCATAGTTTAATTGGCCACAGTTTTTCTAAGTGATTTTTTTAAATCGTGTATTTTATAACCTGTGTGATTTCTATTCAAGAAAATAGGGTTTTCATCACACTCAGTGAGTGTCGTTTGCATGTTTAGTGTTTGTCTAAACCCTATAAAACTGTAGGCTTCTTTAAAGCAAGCACCAGAATGTAGTACAATGCCTGGTGTGTCATATGTATTCAGTAATGATTAATCAAATGACTGGATTCATTAACTTTATTTATTTAAAATTTTTTGAGACAGGGTCCTACTATGTTGCCCAAGTTTATCTCGAACTCCTGGGCTCAAGTGATCCTCCCACCTCAGCCTCCCAAAGTGCTGGGATTATAGGCATGAGCACAGAGCCCGGCCTGAATTCATAACCTTGGGGTTGTATAGATCTCAGCTGAAAAACGCTGTACACAATACTATGTATAATCAGGTAACTTAAGCTTTTTGGACAAAATTAAATATATAGTCTTTCTGTCAGATTCACATGTACCCAATATCTTACCTCAAAGTACTGGTGTTTTTGTTTTTTGGGTCTTTGTTTTGTTTTGTTTTTTGAGACAGAGTCTCACTCTGTCGTCCAGGCTGCCTCCAGGGTTCAAGCGATTCTCCTGCCTCAGCCTCCCAAGTAGCTGGGACCACAGGTGCACGCCACCACAAGCAGTTGATTTTTTTGCATTTTTAGTAGAGATGGGGGTTTCACCATGTTGGCCAGACTGGTCTCAAACTCTTGACCTCAAGTGATCTGCTCGCCTCAGCCCCCAAAGTGCTGGGATTACAGGCATGAACCACTGCACCCAGCCTCAAAGTACTAGTTATAAGCAGAAATTTCCACACAAGTAGAGATCTTAAAACAAAGAACTCTTATATCTGTCTAAGCATAACAATTTTTTTGTATTAGACCTTTCTCAGAAAACTTTTAAAGAGGAGATATTAATAGAAAGTATGTATGAAGCATCTCTCAGCATAATGCCTGGATGCTTTGACAAGTATACTATTTTTGAACACGGAAAAAAACTCATTGTCATATATTATGACCAGTTTCTCCTGCTTAATACTATAGTTAACTCTAATCCTATGTTTATAACCTCTTAATCTATATCCATGGAGGAAATAGATTTCTCCTTATCTATTCGCTTGGTACTAACTCAAATAAGTAGAAAAACCAGGGGATTTAATTGCTAAAATAATTTAGCAATTAGCAAATATTTCAAGAAACGCCAGTTAGAAACATAGAAAACATAAATGGATTTCAATGCATGGTTGATCTTTTTGAAAATTTTCCTCTGAATGAACGCCCTTCTTTAACACTGATGCAAGGCTCTGGATAAATCTCATTATTATGAAAGTCCCCAATAGTGAGAATTTAAATATAAATTTATGCAAAATGAGAAAAATGGGTCACTCTGCCACTGCCTTATTTCTGGAATTTTTTAGCACAATAGAGCTGAGAATAAAAATCATCTCAATTTCACAATACACCATGTCTCCCTGGTAACATTCAGATAATGGTTCTAAAGCTGTTTGGTATGATGGATGAGGAAATGCATTTTGAGCTTGGGCAGATCACACTGCTCGGGACCGCTGTTTCTGTTTTTGCAAGTCTGACTTGTCAAGGGCCCCTCCCATCTCCTCAGAGAAACCTTCCAGGCATCCCTAGTCAGAATCAGTGTCTCCTTCCTCTTCTGGGCCCACCTAACATTTAGTTTCTACTTCTTGTGTAGCAATTATGCAGTCAGCCCTGTAGTACAAATGAGTGTGTGTGCATTTGTCTACCTCAGAAGGCTCTGAACTCCTGGAGCATCAGGACTGATTTTATTCAGTCTTGGGTCTTGCACATGGAAGGTGACTCATATTTTGCCATATCAAATTGAATTGCTTTATAAGATTAACTTTGGCTTATGCAGTTTATGCTCCCTAAGGTTTTGTTTTTATGTACTAGTATTGCAGATTAGAAAAAAAATCCAGCTCATCTGAAACCCTCATGGGTCTTTTGTGTGACATAGAATGAAGAGCTGAGCTGAGCCCAACCTCAGTTAAGAGAGTGCCTCCAGCAGTTCAGACCAAGTTCATGTCCTTAGGTAAGACTGGCAGGGGCTTCACTGGGCCCTGGGAGGAGATGGGAGTCCTACGAGATGAGAAAATTATTCCCTTAGGTTCTGAGAGAAAATGGTAATATTCTATCTGTGGACTATACAGCCATTACAGACCCATATTTATGCAGACTAATCCTGGGTCAAATACTCATTTTCTAGGTAATGATGGACAAGTCCATTAAGCCTTCTGATCATCAGCTTCTTGAACGCTAAAGTGGGAAATCTAACATTAAGATGTCCTACAGCATGGACTGTTGTGAAAACTAATAAAGACAAAGCATTTTCAAGTGCTCTGAAGCACTCAGTGCTAAGTACAATAAAAGTAATGCAGCCAGAGGCCTTGAGCCTGCGCCAGATGGAACCGGCCTTGGCCACTCTTTCCCATACCGCTCCCAGCTGACAGAGGTTTGGCTGGTGATTCTGCCAGAACCCATGCATCAGTATTACCCCAGGAGCTGCAGGGCACACACCAGTGTGTGCTGAGAAAGCCCCCAAGAAAGATGGAACCCACACAGGGGCATTGCTAATGCTGTCCCAGAAAACAAGCCCAGGGATTTTCCCAGCTCTACACATTGCTTTGTGTTTATCAGTGCTTTGACCAGCACTGTTCCTTTGTGACAGACATGAAACTCTTAAAACAAAAATCTTTTTTATTTTAGCAAGTTTTATTTAGGGAACCTGGCTGCAGGCAGGATTTCAGTCTTATATCTGCGTAAAGCCTGAACTGCTGGCCAGTTGAAATATTTCCTTGGAAAAACCAAGGTGTTTGATGTTGCTTAGCCACACCAACTGATTGGACTTCTCACTTCCTAACCAGTTGCCTTGGTGTTGCTCAGATGAAGCCCAGATTATTTTTTTTTTCTCGGTCACTTTTTATAAAATCTGAAATCTGAAAGTGCAGCCCTAACCACCTCACAAAATGGTAGGTCTTGTTCTTGACCTCATTAACAAAGGACTGTCCTTCCAACTCACACCAACCTGGGGGAGGAAATAAACCAGACAGCCCGAATGACGACAGAGTGGGATGAAATAACCCCTCCCTGGGACAATGCCTTTTCCTGTTTCTGGAGGCTCCTCCTATTCCCACACTGGTTTCTGCATCCGTTACTTGGCCAGGATCCTCTTTCACATCAAAGTGTCCCTCCTTGGGCTTCACAAGTAGGGGCATAACCTTAGTTTCTACAGGAAGGCATTTTCATCCCAAAGGAAAGGGAAAAACCATGTGTTTGGTTGCTATACAATTACAAGCCACTTTCCTTGTTTTTTATTTTATAGTCGTGCACAAGGAAAGTATAGGCAGGCTTTTAGCTACGATGGGCCAAACATTTGGTTCCTGGACTTCTACAGTTTGAGCTGGAAGCATTAAAATAATTAAACTGCAGCCATTCAGTCTTCATTAATAATATTAAATGCCTGAGTCAGGAAAAGTTTTAGGAAAGGATACGATTTTCTTTTTTACTTCAAAAACACATGAAAGGGCATAATCTGGACAGATATTTAAGGCAGAGAGGTTGAAGAATGTCATGCATTCCATCTCAGACTAAGCTATGGGGACTCTTCTTGGGAGGTCTGGATTTAAATCCAGTTTTGAATGGCTGAATGTAATCAGTGATGGTAGGGCCCTAAAGCTTTCCCAAAGCTGTCACTTTGTGTCATTATCAAAAGCACTTATTTGGTACCTAATATGTCTGTGCATGGTAGATGTTTAAATAGGAATGTCCCTGCCTTTCTGGGGCCTCTGATCTAAAATGGTGCAGATACTCTTGGAAATGGGGTAAATAGCAGAACCTTGAGTGGAAGAGAGCATGTCCGATAGTATTTTTTAGTGTGTAATTAGGGTAGCGGGGACTAGAAAGTTTTAACTGGTGGAGAATACAATTCATCATCATTAGAATGGGACCCTTTAGAAGACTATCACATTTTGAGGGTGGAAGCTGTTGATCAAAAGATAGAATAATTTTCAGCTGGGCATGGTGGTTCACACCTGGAATCCCAGCATTTTGGGAGGCTGAGGAAGGTGGATCACTTGAGGTCAGGAGTTTGAGACCTGCCTGGCTACCATGGTGAAACTATGTTTCTTTTTTTATTTTATTTTATTTATTTTGAGACAGAGTCTTGCTCTGTTGCCCAGGCTGGAATGCAGTGGCGTGACCTCAGCTAGCTGTGACCTCTGCTTCCTAGGTTCAAGAATCCTCCTACCTCAGCCTCCCCAGTAGCTGGGATTACAGGAACCTGCCACCACACCAGCTAATTTTTAAATTTTCAGTAGAGACAGGGTTTCACCATGTTGTCCAGGCTGGTCTTGAACTCCTGAGCTCAGGCAAATGCCCACCTCAGCCTCCCAAAGTGCTAGGATTACAGGCGTGAGCCACCACACCGCGACTGAAATCCTGTTTCTACTAAAAACGCAAAAGTTAGCTGGGTGTGGTGGTATGTGCCTGTCTGTAATCCCAGCTACTGGGGAGGCTGAAGCAGGAGAATTCCTTGAACCTGGGAAGCGGAGGTTGCGGTGAGCCAAGATCATGCCACTGCACTCCACCTTGGGCAACAGAGCATGACTCTTTGTCTCAAAGAAAAAAAAAAAGATAGCATAAGTTTCAAAAATTGAAGAAATACTATTCTAAAAGTATTCATTCATCATTTGCTCATTCAGAATTTACCAACTGCTTCCTGGATGTCCCAATGTGTGGCTGGCACTATAAAAGATATAAAACAAGTAGACTCATCTGGACATTGACAAACTCGTACACTCAGGAGTCCATGATGGCACAACGTCGAAGCAATGAGGTAGGAGTGAATTATCCCAATCCAGACCAACATAATTGGTAATTTGGAAGCAGAGTTAGAATCTGTATGAATCTCAATCACTTTGGGATAGATCAGGATACAGATTTAGAAACAAATAAGCACAATTCCTAACTGACCCTAAATAACGTTAAAGCAAGCCTCCCGTGTTCTTTTATCCTTCACATGCTCTCACTGAGGTAGAAAAATTAAGCTTTGTGTGGTTGAATTATAAATTTCTTTTTAACAATTAAGAAAATGTGTCTTTACCAGAAGTGAATACCATAAGTATTACTCTTGGGTTAGGGAAAGGGAACATTGAAAGTGAATCAGATCTTCCACGAGGGCCATGTAATGGTACTATTATTATGATGAAAAATAGGAAGAGAAAAAGGAGTGCAAGGTAGAAAAGCCCAAATTTCAGTATGCTGACGGCTGTCTTGTCTCTCAGAAACCTATTTGGTAACCTGAATGACACTGATTCCCACACCTACAGACAGGCAAGAGGAAATGAAACAGGGTTGGTGAAGCATTCCTTTTTGTTTTGTTTTGCTTGTTTGTTTGTTTGTTTGTTTTTTGAGATGAAGTGTTGCTCTGTAGCCCAGGTTGGAGTGCAGTGGCACAATCACACCTCACTGCAACCTCCACCTCCCGGGTTCAAGTGATTCTCCTGCCTCAGCCTCCCAAGTGGCTGGAATTACAGAAATGTGCCACCATGACTGGCTAATTTTTTTGTATTTTTAGTAGAGATAGTGTTTTACCACGTTGGCCAGGCTGGTCTCAAACTCCTGACCTCAAGTGATCCGCCCAACTTGGCATCCCAAAGTGCTGGGACTACACAGGCACGAGCCATTGGGCGCAGTAGTGAAGCATTCCTTATGCTCGATGTGCTTGAATACCGTTATCTTATGTGATCCTGACAACAGCTTGCCAAGATGGTGTTAACGACTCTCATTTTATAGATGAAGAAACTGAAGTTCAATGAGTTTAAGTAACTTGCCTAAAGTCATACAGCTAGTAAGTAGCAGAGCCGGGGGTTAAATACAGGGCCGTCTGATGCCGAGGCTTGTGAATTTTCTCCTAAACTCCCCAGATTTGATGCTGAAAACTCCAGAGAAAAATGTATGTATATAAGGCCCTGGTCAAGTGCAGGACAAATATGCCCTCTAAAATCTCTACCTGTTCAACCTCCCCAGGGATACTTCAGACTACTCTTTAAATATAGTCTTCCCATTTCCCTGACCCATCTAAATTATTCACTCTTTCTTTAAATTGTTATAACAGAACTAATGGTTTATGTTTGAAATGAATTGTATATTGTTATTTGAAGTGCATATGAGAGAAAATGCTATGTAAATCCTAACAAGCGATGAATAAAACTTTATATACATATATAATTACATATATATAAAATATTACAAAATAAAATAATATTTAAAGAGACGTGCATTTATTTTTGTCATTCTGATACAAAACTATACTGTATTCTGACTATTTATAAAGTTATTTCCTTACACGTTTTCTATTTTTTTTTTCCATCCTGTCATTCTTATTCCCCCGGTAATCTCTATATATCTGAGGAAGAGGAAGTGAGAAGTTGTTCCACCTGTGTTTACTAATTATAGTGTTAGTCCTTTGTATATAGTGTTTGCACTTTGTTAGAATGCTGATTATCTCTCAAGCAGCTAACCCTTCTTAGACCTGACAACAATTTAAATTCAAATGTCTTCATGGCAGGCAATTTTATTAGTGTTTTATATGGCACACCAGAGAAGTGAGCTGGTTTGGACTTTTTTTTTCTTTCCATTTTTGGTAGAAGATTGAGCTTTAGAAAAGTATGTTCAGTTGGCCTATACCATTGGAAAACTTTATTGACTTGTTCAACCCATATGCCACAAGCCTGAACCCAGGAGATACCAGCTGTAAGAAAAAGCAGTGTGTTCCATCTCTGTGGCTGATTTCATTTTTGGATTCTGAGTCTGCCAATAAGTTCCAGGTGGAATGTGTTGGTTTTTGCGATGCAAGTTACCTGTTCACTGGGAGCAGAGGGAGACCACTTGTTTGAGCCTCCCACAGTTGACAGATGGCAGTGACTTTGGTCACTGATGATATTGTCTGGATTCAATTCAGCTTAGAAGAGAAAGATACCATAATACCTTGTAAGAATTTCCTTTGCTCCACCCAGTCACTCTAGTAAAGAAAAGATTTGAAAAGCTAAGACTCCAATGGCACATGTACCACATTAACATCTGGAGGAGGGCTTGAGGGAATCTCCCTGGAAACCGAAAAAGAAAAGAAAAAAAACCCTCTAGGTCATGGGTGTACAAATTTTTAGCTTCCCTAGGCCACACTGGAAGAACAAGATTGTATTGGGCCACACATAAAACACACTAATATTAATGATAACTGGCGAGCTGAAAGAATTGTAAAAAAACATTCCCATGATGTGTTAAGAAAGTTTGCAAATTTGTGTTGTATTGGGCAGCATTCGAAGCCATCCTGGGCCACATGTGGCCCCCGGGCTCTGGGTTGGACAGGCTTACTCAAGATAATTTTTGCTCCCTAACTCTACAGGGCAGTAAGCCTCCCTACTGCAAGGAGACCACAGTTGAATGGGCGTGGGATGAGGTGGAGCTCTTGGTTTGTGAGAAGAGTCAGCAATGGAATGGCTGGTTGGCTATACAAATTAAAACTGATTTGCATTCATCTAAAGAAAAATGAGTAAATACAAGATGCCTATTACATACACAAATGTATTGCAGAAAGACTATAAATGCATGATAAAATGTTAACTAACATACATAACTTTTTAAATGGAAAAAACGTTTGGAAAAGCGTTTCTAAATTCTGGGTTTAGTCTACCTGGGAAAAAAC